TAGATGAAGAGTTAGTTGGTGAGTTAGTGATGTCAATGATAACACAAGAAAAGAAATGAGATAAAGAAGATAAAACAGTGTTACCGAGAAGTGATTGGAGAGAGAAGGCGAGGAATTGAGAATGGAAGAGTTATAGTAAGCGACAGTGAAAGGGAGTGCTTGGCTAAAAAGCAAGCATGTCATTCTTCGGCTCTTGCATATAGCAGAGGCTACAGACCACATTCTTTTGTTCAAGTGCGTAGTGCTTTTGGGCTTGGGGTTTATTTTCACGTCATTGACTTTAATTATTGGAAAATCTTAGAAAAATTCAAAAAAATTGATTATTCTAGATAATGTTATGCGTTTGTATCGGTCAGATGTAAAAATAGATGAACCCAGAAAGGATCCATTAATTTCAGAGAAATTCAAATAAAATAATTTTACTACATAATTAACTTCTCGTGTGTGTGTATATATATATAGAGAAAAAAATGTTATCCTTATAAAAACTCATATAAAGAGTGTTACAAAGTGATATCATTCAGAAGAAAAAAACAAAAACAAAAAAAAAAATGGAAAGAGAGAGAGAGAGAAATAATGAAAATCAAAGGTGTGGATTGTCTTTGTATGTCTCCTTTGTACGTGTCTTTGTATGCTATCCTTATAAAGACTCATATAAAGAGAGTTACAAAGTGACATCATCTAGAAGAAAAAAACAAAAAAAAAAAACGGAAAGAGAGAGAGAGAGAAATAATGAAAATCAATGGTGTAGATTGTCTTTGTACGTGTCTTTGTAAAATTAGTATTGCTCATATATATATATATATAGCTGAATATCCATATGAGTTCATCGCCACATGACACATTTTGAAAGCTCTAAAATTGCTCCATTTTGACACATTAGATTGACAAACCAATCAAATTGCTCTATCTCGGGACGTTGGGTTGATAATTATTGTTCCATCTATAATTATTAATTAATTAAAAAAATAAAATCTGTATTAATAATTAATAATACAGGTGCATTGCATTAGTATTCTAAAGGTCTAAACGTAATGACACCTTGAATTTATGATTGTCATATAGTTGAATTTTATTGATGATGATGTAGACAATATTAATTACTGCATTGATATTTCAAAGTCTAAATAAATAGATATAAAGATTGGATTACATAGGTGTATTGTATTGGTTGTATTAATAATTAATAATAATACTAATGATATAGGTGTATTGCATTGATATTCTAAAGGTCTAACCATAATAACACATTGGATTTGTGATTGTCATGTGATTGAATTTTATTGGTGATGATGTAGACTATTAATTGTTGCATTGGTATTTCAAAGTCTAAATAAATAAACATAAAGATTGGATTATGTAGGTGCATTGCATTAGTAGTAAAATCATACCTGTTTATTAATAATTATATAAGTGCATTGTATTGACATTGCAAACATTTTTTCGTATTCAATTTGTATTTAATTGTGTTGGCATTCAAAATATCTAAATAAGGGGTTATAAAAGGGGCGTATGTTCAGTTGTGTATTATCGCAATATGTTAGTTGGTGTCAACAATACGTCTGGTATTTTTTTAATTGTTTAAAGGTCATGTTAATTAGTGTCAATAATACGTATGTTCTTCATGATTTTGTTAATTGATGATTTTTTATTTATTTATGTTTTTTTTTGTATAGTGGTTTGCATGGGAGACGAAAGGGCGGGGCTCGATCATAGCTATCGATCTACAGTGAATCTTGACCCTCCATTCGTCGAGCAATCTCGGCCCTTGGACATGGCCATGTGTCAACCATCCACGAGAGGCGATGAATCGTCAGACTACCATAATCATAACCGTCGTCGTATGTTGCCTCAACTTCGCGCGTGGACAACTATAGTTGCCCACACGCGACGAAAAGTAACTACCAAAGGCTGCCACATTTTAATGCGACATGATCGCGTGGAATTTACACAACTATCATTTCTTTTCAAATTCCGAGTTTGTCAAGAGTATCGTATAAGAGAAAAGGTCCAAGTATAGAGTACATCGACTGGGCATGAGTCCGACTCTCAAAGCTCAACTGCATATGCATCCAATGCCCTACCGATAATGTCGAACTTGATATCAAATCGAGCAATAGTCTTCGAAGCTCAAAACGAGCATCAAATACTAGGGAGCATATGTTGTGTGTGATTTTTCCATGAAGCTCGGAGAGTTGTGAGGTAATAGCTCGATCCAAAATCAGTTCGACTCAATTGACTGTTAGACCCAGCATAAGCTCGTCGAGTTGTAGCTCGACCTAGCACAAGTTAATCGCGACCAATCCTTACGGTTGTTCAACCAGCTCACAGATAACTCCAGATCCCGGATATCTCGAAAGGGATCAGATTGACAATAATCCTAGCGCAATCTCAGCGCTCAAACCCAAGAATATCGGAATTGCATTCAAATTTAATTGTAATCCCTTTATTTTCGCTCTTTCTTTTGTACAAAATTTGTATATAAACCCCCTCCAATGATGAGAAAGGGGTTAGAAAACATTTATAGGATTGTCATTGTAAGCTCTCATAGCAAATACAATAACAGTGGACGTATGCTTAAGAGTTCAACTCGCCGAACCACTTTAAAAATCTATTTGTCATTTACTTTACTGCTATGATTATTTATTCACTGCGCTGATTACCCGTAATCAAACACACATTAGTTTCAATCCTGATTAGGTTGATCGAATCACTCTAGTTGGTGTAATTCTTGCATCAACAAAATAGTTTTCCAATACATAAAAATATCAAGAGTAAACGACTTTTTCCCACCCAAGGTTTGGCCTAATGACACTTTCCCACCCAAAAAGTTTCAAAATACAATTTTACTACCTAAACGTTATGTTTCATTAATAATTTTCATTAAATACAGTGATATGCATTGCGAAAACGAAAATATCTTTTACTATTTGACTTATTTTTATTATTATTATTATTATCTAGACCGAAACTGACGGCAGGCAACAATGTCGCTTGAACGATGAACGGCAAGCAAGTTGGCAGAGGCGTGGTGGGGATTTTGTAAAGTGGGGTCAGTGAAGCAGGAGGTGGTGACGGCTTGGATTTTGGCCATCAGATCGGTCAAAATTCGACTAGAAGCAGCGAAACCCTAATCCAAACGGCATTGACAAACGGTGGAGCAATCAGGCAATGGTCAAGGTGGTTTTGGAGTATGAAGATCGGGGAATCTGGTGGTAGTGACATCTTGGTTTTTTGCTACCGAAATCGATAGAAATTCGGCTAGAAATGGGAAAACCCTTATCCAAACGGCGTTGATGAACAGTGGGAGCAATTAGGCAATAGTCAAGGGGGTTTTGGAGTATGGAGGTCGCGGTATCTGGTGGTGGCAAAGGGGCAGGCCAACGCACGGTTTTGGTGGTGCTGGACGCTCGCTCGTGTTGTCTTGTGCACAGTAGCTTTGTGTGCACGCTACCTTGCTAGTTACTGGGGCTTTTAGTTAGGGCAATAGGTCGAACATGTGGTGGGCTTGGATGGAGCAGCAAGGTTGGAGAGATGGGGGAATGACCGGCAACTAGAAAAATCAACACAATAGCAACACAAACACTTCATATAGCAAACCACAATTCAACACCAAAAAAATACAATCGTTATGTAGGGGATTAGGGTCGCAAAACGCGATTGTCTCGCAACGGTGGTACAGGTCACAATGGCAAAATGGCAAGTGGGGAAGGCCAATAAAGGGTAGGGTTTTGAAGAGGTAGGGAAGGGGATTGTAGGGTGGTGACAGTGGTGATTTTTGGTGTCTAAAACAGCTGGAATCGAGTTGTGAAACAGTGAGTTTGCGCAAAGATGCAGTGGTCGCTCGACCAGTGATTGGAGACGGAAATATGGCCGACTTTTATTTGTATCCTATTTCAATTTTCAGAAATATTGAAATGTTAATTGACCATTCTGCCCTTACTTATAACAAACTTTTAACCATCCTGTCCTTCTTCACAACGAAATTTACTGACATAAGTTAACTATGTGGTGGGTAGTAAAGCTGTATTTTGAAACTTTTTGGGTGAGAAAGTGTCATTAGACCAAACCTTGGGTGGGAAAGTCGTTTACTCAAATATCACTGATAATGTCATCCATGACTGTATACAACAATATACAGTAAAATATGGTCATTTACATTAAACAAACCTCTGTTAATTAATTTTCATATCTATAAACTGTAACGGATTAGACATAATAAAGTATAGTTAGTACTTTGATTTTTTACCTTCTTCGTTGAATATTGCGGCGTGTGAAATGGAATACATTATACAAAAATCATTCTGATCATCATAAATAGGATGATTTAACGTTATACACCTCTTTTTTAAGTATAATTCTTATGTAAAGCATGGTTGTTAGTATCCTACGATACCCGATACGTATTATACGATATGATTTGATACAGGTCACCAACGATACGTATCAGATAGTGTATCCTAAACTATTCGATACGTTGATATGTATCATACGATACGATACGTATCCGTTCGTATCCTTAAAAATATCGATATAAATCGATACGATTTTATTAATTTGGGCCAAAAGTCCAAAAAAAAATTCGGGTCGAAACCGGATTATCCAACCCGATTCACTAAAACCTGTCCAAATTTATCTATTTTACATGAGAAAGTAAAGAGGAATATGTATTGCCCATTTTACATGATAATAATAATATAAGTGGAGATATAGATTGACATTGATCTTGGAATTTTGTGATTAATTTTTATTATGTAATACCGTAATTTAAAGTCAATAATACCATAAAATTCTTTTATTAATCTTGGGGATTATATTAATTTTTAGAAAATTTTGATTATTTTATTAATTTTTTTGAAAAAGACGTATCTTACGATACGATACAATACGCGATACACGATTTAAAAAATTAGATTTTCGATACACGATACGATACACGATTTGATAACCATGATGTAAAGGACAATAACTCATGAAATAATATGGGTATCCTTTGAGATCAAATCATATTCTTTTATCGAGCTAGTCAAGCAACCTCATCTAAGAATATGTAGTTACTTTTCTTCTTTATCGGGCAACATCTTCTGAATCCTCTCGATGAAGCTTAACATCGTCTGCAAACCCTTTTCATCTGCAATAAGAAAAAATAAAGTTTCTATTAATAAATCATGAATGGATAAGTGAGGGAGGGAAGGAGGATTCAGTAAATTACCAAGTCTGGGTATTGTGTGACCCTTGGGATGATTAATTATAACAGGGTCCACACAGGATTCCAAGAGTTGCAATCCATAAGGCTTCAGAAAGTCTTGCTCTCCTGCAACAACACAATTTTTGTGAGTCATCAACAATACTCAAATTGAACGCTACTTGGCCCAATCCATCAATTTTGTAAAATTGCGCTGAAATGAAACGAATATATAAAAAAGAGTAATACTCTGGAAACGCTAAATTAGAGTCGTGATAAGGTATATGGATTCGAACAGAATTAAAAAAAGGAAAATGGAGAAGAATGTGATACCTAAAAAATGGAGGTTGGGGCATTGAATCGGAGAAGCATATGCAATCTCAGCCACTGATTGTGATTTAAACTTTGCCCCACCAATAATAATAAGAAACTTTATTTTTGGAACTTTCGTAAGGGCTACGCCCTGCCAGCCAGAAACAAACAATAGCTTAACAGCAAGCGTAGGTGAATTGTTGGCTGACTGTAAAATTCAAAGCAGTTGTCTTCATTGACTAATCGTAACTTCAACGTACCTTCGCCTGTAATCCAATTAGCCCGGCCGACAGTATCGCCCCCTAATATTGCACAAAACGCGCCATGAATTAAATTAATCATGAAAGACAAATTGTTTTTCTAATTTTAAAAACTAGTTCAAATTGCAGGCGGAAACCTGTGAAAATCCCATAAGACCATCGAACGGTCCATGTTTGATCATGAAATCCTCGATGTAAGCAAGGCAATCGTCAAAGTTGATGTACTCGGTAAATTCCTGATAGAAGAAAACAACATAAACACCAAGACCAACCATGGTTCTTTAAAAATATGTTCAGAATAAAACCAGAATTTTGTAGTATCTTTAAAGAAAACAGAATATATAATCTAATCTGACCTTGTTGAATTGGAACCACTCATAATAAGGAGGATCAAAGATGCCTTCAACTTCAGATTTTCCTTGTGAGGGAAAAGGCGCATCTGGGAAAACAAGATCCAACTTCTCCAGTACTTGTTGAGGCCATTTCTCTGACTGTATTTTGAAAATCTTTCCACTTGTTCTAAATCCATGGAGACATAAAAATCTTGGTTTCTTCGGAATTTCAGCTTCACTTCCCATCTTCAAAGTTTCTGAAAGTTTTAATTTTGGTATTGGTTTCACGACATAAGCGATCGACAGGATTTGAGGCTATATGCGTTCCGATAATTTTGGAGGTGCGGCTCTAAATTTATAGGCCACTTGGGCCGCGTGTGATGCCCACCCGCAAGATTTGTTGAGATACTGGGGCTGCGCGGCTCCAGATTGTCAAAGTAAACAGGCGGTGGAGATGGTCCTTTGGTTTGTTCTCAACGGCTGTGATCTTGCGAGGAAACTTAATGAGGTGTAGGTGTGAGTGTGAGTAGTGTGAACACGTTTTTCATCAGTCACATTTAAATTAGGAATCATACTACATAACAAAATCTGGAATTCATACTCATTGAATTGTAATATTAATATACAATAATACTTTAAGTTTATATATCTTAGGGTATGTTTGGTATGCTCAATTGTTGAATTATATAGTATAAGAGGTATCGTATAATATTAAATATGATATTTGGTAAAACTCTGTATTATATTAACGAATATAATGTTTGATAGACTTTGCACTATATTAACATAATGTATAATATTTAATGCATATTCATTATAACAGGTATTACCGTGCAAAAGGGTATGTCAAGTGTTGTATCGTATTGTTTTTATTCACTTCAATAACTTTTTAATTAATTACTTAACTTAAAAAAATTATTGTTTGTAATTAATATAAATAAATGCAAACTTTTATTCCTTTTTGAAATATCTTTTTGATATTTTAAGTTTCACTAATTATTTTTATTAAAAAATTAATTTTTTAACAAATATTTACATAATTTATATAAATTTAAGTTGCAGGTAAAAGAAGTTAGTGTTATAATAATAAAATATCAAAATTTAAACAAATAAATTAATTTAATACACGGAAGAATATATTATATTATATATTTCATTTAGTATTATAGACTGCATAACAGAGTGCACATTCATTATAGCAGAGTGCACCAAACGGGTCTTCACTAATTAATATTTATCTGAAAATTAGGCACAATCTTAAATGCATAGTATTAATTAACATTCGATTTTCAATAGTTTAGTTTGGAGAGGGGAAGATCCAAGTTATGTCGAGACATCTTTTAATGAATTACTTTTGGGTAATCGAGTGATATGATGGAGATTTTTAGATGTATTATTTAAGAGGTCTTGAGTTTGAATTATTCTTTGAGTGCTAATAAGGATAACTGTAGAAGCTATTATTTGATCAATAATTTAAAGATCTCGAAATATTAGTTGAGATCTAAATAAATTATTTCAAACACTTCAATCATTTAAAAAAAAAAAAAAAATCTAATAATGAAGACCCTACAAACCATGGCATCTCCCTGTAGTGCGGCTAGTGCCCCAATATTCAACTTGATAACATCATATTGCAGGGTCCACCAGCCTTCTCTAACATTGCCATTTCCAAATTTCCACCCACTTAATTAACATGCTCAATTTATTTTTAAACGACCTTCAGTTTTGAGTCATGTTCCATAATTAATTGCTTCATTTTATGTTCATTCATTTAAATTTGTTGTTCAGTTACATTATCAATCAAATGTCCTAGTCATTACAAATACAATTGTCGCAACAGTTTTTAGAACTAACAATGTTACACAATTAACGGTTGACTCATAAATTTATAAGATTAATAAGCTGTTCTTAAAATTTATCGTTAAAAATAGCCACTTCAAAGTTCAAACTTCAAACCACGGCGAAATTGTCCATAACTAACTTATAAACCAAAGTATTACTAACCAATTACGTTACGCCACGTATGAAATCACTGTCTCTTACGGTAAAACATACTCCACATGATTTTAAACCCAGACGATATAACAACAAAAAAACAGAACTTCCAGTACCATCTGATTATCAAAACCAACGGTGATCCATCTGTCGACCACGTCATATAACATTTCTTTGAAAATTTCCAAAATCAAAAGCAATCCGCGTCGATATAATTTTGCTCCAACGGTAGACGCAACGTTCAAGAATCGCTCGGTAAAGGTCGTCTTCGTCCAGGCCAATTTCTCAATGGCTTCCAATTCTCACAGGGGTGGTACCGGCGGCTCCTTTTACGGCGGCGCCGCTCCTTATAGATCAAGGTGCTCATGTTTTAATTCAAGACGAAAAATTTAATTTCTAATTAATTGAACTGAGGATTAAAATATTCTTTTCTTTTTCATCTTTGTCGGTGTATAAAGAGAGGGTCTAAGCACGAGACCTGTTGCTGGTTCGGATGAAATACAATTGCGGATCGATCCGATGAATGCTGACCTGGACGATGAGATCACCGGTCTCCGTAGCCAAGTCAGGCAGTTAAGAAACGTAAGTTATTAAAATTAACAAATATATTTTTATTCACAATCTATTATATAGACTATTGAAACTCCACACACACACACACACACACACACATATATGTATAATTTGGAGTTTATGGATGATTGTTAGGGTATTTGGCGAGATTATGCTTGACAATTTTTTTTGATTTATGTATCTTAGTATCTTACTTTTATGATATCTGTATGTCTTAGGCTTTATGGTTTGTTGTGAGGTTAATGTTAGTTAATATTCAAAGTAGGGTTCGTGGTTTTATTGATTACAAGTATTTGCAATTTTTATAATGGTGAGAATTGTGTGTTTCTTGTGTGAAATCTGGGGCTCACCTGGGGCAGTGCAAGAACTTTGAAGAATGTGAAAAATTTCACGAATGGAGTTTAGGAAACAAATCCTTTCCACCTGACAATATCGCACTTTGAGTTGCTACGTTTGTTCAGATATGTATTGTTAGGAAGGTGTTGGGGAATTTGTGGATGAGCTTGGCGATAAATACTTAACAAGTACTGAAAAACTGAATTTCCTGATGAGTGTTATTGTATAGTTGAACGAGGATATACTTTTTCCTTTTCTTGAAGTAATCTTTCTTCTAAAACTCTCCATTGGCATCAATTTTTTTTTTTTTTTTTTTCTCATGGGGCGATAAATTTGATTTATAGCCTGCTTTTAGATTTGAAATCGCTCTTTTGTCTTGTTTTTATCTCTTATTGAAGTATGGTGGTGCAGGTTGCTCATGACATACATTCAGAAGCAACATTTCAGAAGGATTTCTTAGATCAGCTGGTATGCTATTAAATCTACATAAACTTTTGCTCAATAAAAAAAGTGTGTTTTGATTTCCGGTTTGCTGTGAATTCTTAATGTTGGAATGTTCTAACTTCTGTGGCTCAAGTACATGAAATTTCAAATTTGTGGAGTGAAAAGAGAAATGAGGAGTGGTGAAAAGCGAAAAGTAGTGTTATGATAAACAACATTAAAGTGATTATATGCAGAACTCTAAATTTCAGTACTTTATTTGTTGGGATCATTTTAAACATTGCTGCTGGTTGGCGTAGTAACACAGAATCATGTTCTGAAAATTTCAGTACTTTATCTGCTGGGATCCTTTTTCCCGAAAGTGCTGGTGAAATGCATGATAATCAGTTCACGATCTTTAGATGGCATTTTAAATTTAAGTGAGGTCTAACATTTGACTTGTCATGTTCTACCCAAGTATGTTTCATTTCTCCTCGTTGCATTTACTAGAAAACAGTCAGGAAATATAGATGCATTAGGCGCCTTTTGCTGCATTTACTAGAAAATAGTCAGTAAATATTAGGCGCCTTTGGCTGTTTAAGACTTCTTTTAGTGAAGAGGAGACACCGTTTTTGTATGTATTTGGCACTTATAGGAGGGATGAATTTATTATGATCTTCTTTCCAACCAACAAACTTATTAAAGGCCCTACTGCCTCCTGAAAGCTTAATTTCATATTGTGACAGCAAATGACCCTGATCAAAGCTCAAGCAGGTGTGAAGAACAATATGAGGAGATTAAACAAGAGCATTGTCAAACACGGTTCAAACCATATTGTTCATGTTGTTCTTTTTGCACTACTTCTTTTCACTGTGCTCTACCTGTGGTCTAAAATGTTCAGACGATGAGGTTGGTGCACCTGCCTGCACAATTAGCATACTAAAAATCTGTTGAATGAAGGCAATATGGTTTCTGGCTGTGCCGAAGGGTTATTGCACAGGTTTTTTATGTAAAAGCCTTTTCAAATGACCTTTGCAGATGTAATGATATTTTTAAATCTGTTGGTTTTAGGTTTTCGTATACCATAGACAGATTGTTAGTTCCAGTGTGAATGATCTGAGTATTACTACATAATGTTATTCTCTAGCTTTGACAAATGATCTCAACACTAGTGAAAGCATTGTTAATTCCATTTAAGCTTGTAAAAACTTTATTCTATCAGCACTGTGAAATGATAAATGAATTACATACTAGCATACACAGGCTCCTGAATTTCCCTGAGGTTTGATTAAATGACCCCTAGTGGCTTTTTCTAGTTTACTGATTCTCACTTGGTTGCTTGCCCACTCTGCAAAGAAGGTTTCATTATGGCCAACTTGACCATTTTTGTAAAAGTCAAAACACTCTGGACCACGCATAGGAGAAGGGCACTCCTTGCCGAGCGGGTCCCAGCATGCGCCTTGGTGCTTCATCCCGGATTGGTCAGCCATCCAGTGATGTGCATACTGGCCTACACCTGCAAGCTCCAACCATCCTTTGGGAAAGAACTCCATTACACTACTGTTGCGCTCCATGAAGAACATGTTTATCAGTTGTGCTCCATGAAGAACATGTTTATCAGTTGTGCTCCATGCGGTGATGCAACAATGTCAGTGTTACTCATTACTCTTATCTGAATCAATAGTACAATTGGTTGTTAGTCATTACATATGGTTATTAGTTACAACCATAGTTGTCCTTTTACAATCATTTGAATTTTCCATGATTTACTTTTGCCAGAGAAATGTTTTTAGAAAACCTTACAAAAATCGATTAGCAGCTTTTAAACGGGTTTGTACTGGCCATAAATCCATTGAATTACCTCTCGATCATAGCCAACAAGTGTCTACTGAATAATGTGTTTAAAGTTTACCTGGAAGTGCAGTTGGAGAAAAGCCACAAACCTGGTCACAGAAGCTGAGATCTTCTGATTGAGCCACCTTCAGTATGCAACCCTCCACCCGTGCGCATTCGTTTGCAAATATATTAATCACGGCAGTTGCATTCTTGAATGATCTTGCACCTCTCCTCATTAGCAAGGTTGGCCTTATAATTGGCTGCCCTTTTTCATTGGCTTCTTGTCCCTCACCCGCACGGTTTATGCTGCAACTTGCCCTGGCTTTGCATCTCAACAAGTCAAAAACCTCGAGTTTCCTTGCCTTTCCCATGCTACCTTCGTTATGCCGCATTCAAAGTTCGCTTGCATGAGATGATGTAGCCATGATCCTATTCTAGCTCTGAGCTCCCCCCAATGGAACAGTACCCATCTTGTTGGCTTCAAGCAACCATTCTTTATAGACCAGCTAACAAAAGGAGTCATGGCGCACATTCCGTGCCACAAATTTCCATAGTCATAGTAAGAGTCTGACACGAATGTGAGGCCTTTCAAGAGAGTTGTCGATTCTAGAAGACTTTCAGGCCATGCCAAGGCATACGAGTTTTTGGTACCATCTTTTTTGTTGTGTCCTTTAATGCATAGAAGTCGTCCCTTTGATGCTTGTGAAGGGAAAAAAAGGTACTCAGCTTCGTTATCTTCATGGGTGTCATTCAAGGAGCTCAGAAACCAAGTGTGCCCGATCATGGCAGTTTCAGTATATCGTAAATCTTTGAGGGGAAGGAAAGTAACCGAGTCTCGGAGCTTTAAGATTAAAGTATTACTGTCCTTGGACTGATCTTGGCCATTGATGGCATCCACTGCCTTTAGTTTCTATATGTTGAAAGAAGCCCGTGGGGTAGAAGTGGGAGAATAGGAAGGAGAAAGTTGTAAATGGAAAAGAATGAGGACTATAATCAGCAAGAAAATGGATATCAAGAGTTTAGCAAGATTAAATGAACTACTATGCTTGGTTAAAGCTTTGGGGATACTCTCAGAATGAAAGAGAAGTGCAATTGAAGGTACCAAGACCTTTAAGGCTGAAATTGACCTCGAGATTGAGACACCAAATACATCAAGTAAACTAATTAAAAAATAAAAGTCAAATGGCAGATGCAAACGTTGCACATGCAGCCTTAGATAATCATGGCCCTTCCCTGCTGGTTTAACAGGAAGAATGTACCGATATTTCAGCCAAAGCTGTTCTATATTGGCTATCTGAGGGAACTGACAAGGGATCAGGATGTTGGATGCCATAGATGGTGATAAAGGAAATGAAATGGTGAACGAACAATGTTCCATTTAACTCCCATCTTTATCTCAAATAAATACGGTGTTGGTAAGAGCATAGATAGGCTAATTTTAAATTAAGATCACATTAATTGCCAGTGCGACATTTTAATTTCTTGTTCACGTTTCTTAGACTTAGCGATCGCGTATAGAATCGGTGTGCACTGTGGAGATCCACCATTGACGGTGGTATCACCTCGAAATATCCGGCAATAAAAAAACATTTGGAGAGTTGAGAGTGGGAATTAAAGATTGAAAAATCTAAGTCCATGGAAATTAACTTGAAAGAACTGCCTCCACCATTGACGGTGGTATCACCTCGAAATATCCAACAATAAAAAATAAAAAAAAATTGAGAGTTGACTGTGGGCATTAAAGAAAAATCCAAGTCCATGGAAAATTAACTTGAAAGAACTGCTACTTTCCAGGTTTTGTATACCTCAGATTCTTCAAAGCCAGAATGCTTAATAATGAACGAGATCATTTGAAAAAAATAAGCAAACACTATATCCGCATAGGCTGAAAGTGAAGGCAAGCCAGAATCATCAATTATCAAACATTATATTTACATCTTCTGTACAGGAATTTGCTGTCAACCAGGCTAGAACAATTATTAGAACTTAGTAAGCAACTAAGCAAGTTTCAGTCAAATACATTGCGGAGAAATAACACCACGGTTACTGGATATTGTTATGTTGGTGTGTAACCATCGTTTGCCACTGAAATTTGTAGCAGGACAGGTTAATGTTAAACCCCAGCTCCAAAAACAGTGGAGATAATGATGTTATGAGTGTCAGTTTGTCAGCAGGATCAAAATGCTCTACAGAGATTGTTAGCTGTCATGTTAGATGAACACTGCTGCTCTATTGGGCCGGTGGGACCACACAGTCGACTCCTCTTGGGCTCTGAAATCCTCACATTGGAAATGGCCTCTGCAAGCACATCCACATAATCACATTCATCTTGCTCCTCTGACTTCGAGCTCCAACTTTCAGATGATGAGTGAAGGTCTGAACCCTCACCATGCAGTTCACCATCTATCTTGGTTCTAGCCAATTCATGTCCAGAATGGATTGCTAGTTGACGGGAAGATACTACTGCTTGGTTCTTCAATTTTGACTTGATGGTTAATGTCCTTAATGTGCGCTCCGTGTAGAACAATATCCATGGGTGCCCTGAAATACCATTCTTCATCAACAAAGTGACAAATATTAAACTTGCTAAGACACCCAGAATTCTGCTTTACTCAGATCTAACAATAAATTATAACAAAAACACTTTATGATAACACAGAATCAAATTTTATGACAAAAATTTTCAAGAATTCCCACAAAAACTAGAACAATCCGTTTGATAATGAAGGAGAGAAATGCAAATGACTTTCAATTATTTTAACAGGCATAACATCAGAAGCTTACTTAGAACTTCATCAGCTGTTATCCTTGATGAAACATCCCTAGTCAGCATTCTTGCCATCAGATCCCGTGCAGGTTTAGATATTTCCTCCCATATTCCTGAGTGGAAATCTAGCTTTACATTCTTGATTGCCTCAAAAACTGCTTCCAAGGAATCTCCTTTAAATGGAAGAACAGAAACCAAGAGAGCATGTAGGAGGACACCAGCACTCCATATATCAACCTTCTCAGAATAATTGCCAGAGAGAACTTCAGGAGCAACATAAGCCGGACTTCCAGCCAAACCCGACAAAGTCTGACCTGCAAAAGCAGTAAATAGGTACTTTCATAAGCATCAGATATGGTTTTCATGAAATAAATTACCTAATTACGGAAGAGACGAAATAACCTATAATTCAAGATCGGTATGCCAACATACCACATTTAGGTTCAGTTACACATAACGTCACATTTCTCATCAACGGTAGACTAATTGGAAGAAAAGCACTAAAGGCCAGGTGATAAGAAAAAACTAAAAAGACAAAATAGATTTCTAAAAGAAAATTACAATCCATTGCCACCTGGCTTAAGACTAACTAAGTCATATTCAAGGAAATCCTTTTTCCTTTTTCGCATTCTGATCACTTACTCAATGTGTCACATAATTCTTATGTCCAGATATTATGCCAAATAATCCCTGGCATATACTACGAAATCTATAAAGCACTAAACTTCTTGCACAGTGCTATCCCCCCTCTCCTTTCTTTTTATGTCTATGCATTGGCATTTTACAATGCATATTACTGCCAATCTGAAAGTCCTGACACTCTCCTAATATATATTTAAAACACCTGAATTTTGACTCCTTTTCCTAAAACTTTAAAAGAATATGTTACAGAATGCATAAACATAGCCAGTACAAAAATTTTGAATTCTTTTAAAGTAGGTGCTGAATATGTACCATTTGAAATTCTCATGGCCAAGCCAAAATCCGCAAGCTTTATTTTCCCTGAGTTGGAGAGAAGAATATTTTCTGGTTTAATGTCTCTGTGCACAACTCCCATATCATGACAATACTTAATAACCAACATTACATCCTTGAATATATTAGCAGCACGTTGTTCTGAATACTGAACCTCCACCATATGATCAATCAATCGCCCCCCAGAGCACAACTCCATTACAAGATGAAAAAACTCTGCTTCCTCGTAGACTGCATGCAATGTAACAACACCAGGATGACCCGACAAGTGCTGCATTATCTCCACTTCCCTATGAACAGTCTCCTCTCCCTTACGCAAAATCTTACATGCAAACTCTGCGCCACTAACCCTAGACTTCACCAACCAGACAGACCCGAATTTCCCATGCCCAATTACATCAACCTTAGTATAATCGTCTTCAACCTTATTCTTCCTACCCATTTGAGTATTCACATCTATGCAACCTATCTTCCTCTTAAGTCCTCGTCCTGGGGGAACCAAAGATGAAGAGGCACCACAAGGTGGGGCGGTAGCAATACCTGCAAGCCTACTTTTAAATGAACCAGGAGGTTTAGGACTTGCATCTTCTTTGCACTTCTTTCTCAACCTACTGTAATCTTCTAATGAGTAATGAGACCTAATATTAGATGATTCCAGTGAACCTCGAGTTGGTCCCAATTCCTCTTTAATGGGTGTACTTTTACAAGCATCAGTTTCGCTACCTTTTCTCTTCTTCCTCATGACATCTAATTTGATGATAAACTTCTATCTAACAAAATGCCTAAATTATATTAATATCTCTTTAAGTGATCAAAATATCCCATTATGTTTCTGCAATTCACTTCGGAATTTTGCTCCTGCAACAAAGGTTTAACAATCTGTCAATTCATATGGTAACGTCTGTTTAGTGTCTAATTAAATACATGATAATAACAGTTCCAATCTGCGGGAAATACAAAATATAACTTTTAACTCCCTAAACCAAACCAATTATTAATTTCTACTCGAAGATCAATTCATTAGAAAATTGAAAAAAAAAAAATTAGGGCAAATAACGCACCTTCAATCCGAAACAATGTTCTTCGCGGTTTAACAAATTCCAGAACGAAAAAAGCGAAATCAAACTTATTTCACTAACGATCAATGAATGTTAAAAGCGAATCGTGACCGAATATTTGCGAATCTGAAAACCAAAATCCAGAGGATCGAATCCAACTAGAAACCCTAGAACTCTCCGATCATACGATTTGGGAAAAAAAAAAGAAGTCTTTTTACGTACCAAAATAACTTATTTTATAATTTATAGTGAACAGAGGGAAACAGGGGTTTTCTTTTTTTTTTTTTTTTCATTTTCACCTGACTGACGTGTCCAGTTTATAAACGCTCGGTTTCACAAATACGGGTGAAACCCGAAAGCTTATTTGAGAAATTACATATTGAGTGTGCAAAAGCATCCTTTGAGTAAATGCGGACTGGGAGTCTAAATGGTTGATTTCAATGCGGACTAGGAGTCTAATTCGTCCGATTTTTCGCAATGTCACGAGACCAACGGGAATTGAGTTAGAGAGTTTTTGAGATTTGCGCCATAAAGGACAGCGGCATGGGGCCCAATGAAGCATGTGATGTGATTGATTTTGATGGTGGTGTAAGGGTAGTATGTTATCACACGCGTCTTGCTCGTGGCGACGGAGACTTGTGTTATGTGTCGTAGAATTGTGTGTTGGGATTTGGGAATATGTTGATGTCTGATTGTACGGAATGTATGTATTGATAATTAGGAATGTTAAAAAAAAAATTGCAAAAACCGAACGTATAGGTAATCGGACCGAAAAATCGATTAGCAAAAAAATGATTTTAAAAAATAATAAAAACCAGATTTCCAATTCGGCTATCATTTCAAGAAAAAATCAAAATCAGTTAACCAAAACCGATTTTTTTAACCGTTATATATATATAATAAAAAAATAATAATCTAAACTAAACCCCTAAATTCACTCAACCTAAATCCCAAATTCTCGATATCCCTTCTCACTCTTAGTTCTCAAAACTCTTCATCGTTAGCCCGTCACCGCGTCACATATACTCTACTTCTCTAGTCTCCCGGCGTCCACACTCCACATTACACCATCGTTCTTCTTCTGGTAGCTTCGTCGTCTTCTTCCAGCAGCTTCGTCGTCTTCATCGTCTTCTTCTAGACTCCAACAGCTTTGTCGTCTTCTTCTGGCAACTTCGTCATCTTCTTCCGATGGCTTCGTTGTCTTCTTCCAGCAGCAGGACAAGCTCCATTCTCTGTAGTTTTCCAGCAAGCAAAAGCAGCTCCATCCCTGATCTTCTTCAGTTTCGTCTTCTTTGAGTTCTCTCTAGATTCCTCACTCTCACTCACTCACTGAGACACACACAAACGATCAGGTATCAAGGGGAAACCAGTTCAAAACCGATTAACTGAAAAAACTAGTTTTTTCCCCAAACTAGTTTGGTTTCGGTTTGAGAATTTTCCTGAACCGAAAAACCAATTCTATTTGGAAAAGCGGTTAACTGCTTTTGAACACCCCTATTGATAACTGAATTATACATAAAGTATGTTATTGCATTTTCAAGGGTAAAATGTCTTACATTCATATGATAATTTCAATTTAAGCAATTATAAAATATTCATTTATTCAATTTAATTATTGTAAAGAATGATTTCTATAAAAATTAATTTATAATGGCTTTTTCACATATTATGGTAGATGTACTGTATACAGATATTTGAATATGTGATGTCAAATTAACCATGAGAGTGTGTATCGTATATTACTCATCATTATCATCCACATGTGAGTAAATGACATGTTCTCACCCAAGGTCTAGCAAAATCCAAGGTTTCACCTTTGGTTTCATAAATTTCAGATTCTCATATTTAAATTAACATTGTTTGTATTTTTTGGGTTCTGACATAGTATAAATAGTGCTATTACTAAACTACCCTTGAAAAATAAATTAAAAAATTAGTTTTTAACCCCAGGTTTTGGCCATTCCCAAAACACTTTCCAGATTTTGGCCCAACCACTACCCCCACTGGGCACAAAAGAAAGGCTGGTGGACGGTAAATGGTGAGTGAGGGAAGCCGATGTGGAGGGTGAGTTTTGAAGAGGGGAGAATTAGGAGTCGAATAAGTGTGGTTGGGTGAATTTCCAAGAAGTGGGGCGATCAAAGAATGGCTGCAAAGATACGAAGTCAAAAATCACCGCCCAACAATAAAAAAAGAGATGGATAGATTGGTTTGGGCAATTCGTCGAGCACCTGATGTGCACCGACAAAAGATGAGCAAATAATGGTGAATGGGTGGATTCTTGGGCCAAAAACAAGCACACAAACACTCCAGTTAAACAGCCAAACATACCCAAAACCTCAATTGCATCAAAAACTCCTCAATCAACATCCAATTCCAACAAACACGAACAAACCCTAGGCGGAGTGGTGGACGACAAACGATGAGCTGTTATGGCCAAGAAGATTTGGGGTTTTGTAGGAGGGGGCCGAGGAGTCAAAGTGGTGGTGGTTGGGGTTTTTGCTGCTCAAAATGATTAGAATCGGCTAAAAAAGTCGCACGACATGACTATCGTGGTCGGCGATCGGCGAGTGATGAGGGGGATGGTGAAGGGTGAGGATGAGAGGTTTTTTGTGAGTGAATGGTGTGGAAGCTGGAGGTGAAGTCGGGAGTGATGAGCGATGCTGGAATCAAGCCAAATCGGCCTTATCCGACGATTGTGAAGGTGGAGGTGAGTTTGTGGAGGGTGATGAATTTGACTAAAAACTAGGGGTGGAAACATAATTATTTTGAAATTGAAATTGAAATTTTATAGAAATGGCTATTTTACCATTTGACTATTATATTATACAATTTATATTAATTTAAGGGTGTGAATATGGAATTTATGAAATCAAAGGTGGAAACCTTGGAGGGATTTCGCACAACCTTGGGTGGGAACAAATCGTTTATTCTCCCCATATAGTATGTCTTTTCCACATTAACTAAAAACCATGGTACTCATATAATTGTTAGTAGTTAATTAGGAAAATAGGTAAAAAATAATATTATAATTAATAAATATATATTATAATTAGTATGATATGTATCATATAAACAATTATCATAACAGTGTGACATTATTGAAAAATGGAAATTCCATTATATATATATATACAAGAGAACATTTCTACAATGATACTCTATATAGAATTAACCTCTATGTAGTCATAAAAAATTTTAGTCCCAACTTGGGCCAGTTATAAATAAGAATAATTTTTACACTGTAATAAGTTAAATTTTTCTAGATCTCGTCTTAAGGAACTTCTCTCTACATGATAATAATTATATGTATATTGCAAAAAATATATACTATGTTACATTAAAGGTTTAAAATGAAATAAAATGTTTATTTAAAGTTATTTTAGACAATGATTTATAATTTAAAGTTGTTACTAAATCTTTTATCTTACGGGTACATTATAAGTCGCTAGCATGGACACCTACTTGTTGAAGCCAAAATATTTCTAACTTCTCAAGCATATTTAGAGTTCATTGACACAAAACTTTTGGTAGTTCCGTACTATCATCCTCACGATTATCTCTTTCATTTTTTTGTTTAATTCCAATGATGATTTCCTCTTTAGTTAAAACATATGCTACTTATTGCTTATTTGGATGAGTGAGAAAGACATTAATACCCATTTTATTAGTATAGTGAAGTTGTTAAATCTGATCACTTAATTTTACAATGACTCTTTGATATCTATTTCTATACTATTTTAATACTACTAAGATAATGAATTGAAATCCTAATAGTACAAAAACATGAATAAAAATCTACTTAAATATGAATTATAAAATAATAAATAAAAAAATAATTTTTGAATCAAAAAATTAATTCTGTTAACAACAATTCTATTAAATTATAACATTTTTTAGTAATAAATTTAGTTAGCATATATATATATATATATATAAAAGGAAGTTTAGAAAGCTTAAATTCAACGCAACCAAACACAGACTTATTACGCACGACAAACCAAAAACGCAACCCTTAAAAACACACGAACACTGTCCATTTGCAGACAAAGTGTTAACAATAGAGCGTGAGAACAATGGCCGAGTGTATGAGAACCTTAAACCCTCTCAAAACCCCTCTTAACATCAACAAAATCCCAGCACGCAAAATCGTTTTTCCTTCTTCTTTCTCCTCTTTTGAGACAAAACCCCGTTTTAAACCAAACAAATACCCAAAAATCTATGTGTCTGTAATGTCCAGCCAGAACCAAAACCAAAACCAAAAACAAAAGTTGTCTCTCGATGCTTTGGTAATCAGTAATCGCAAAGAAGAACTCCTTGGAGATATTAAGGGCTCGCTTTCTAAGTGTTTGTCAGAGACAAATCTTCACTTAACTGTACCTGGTCTCAAATCCAAAGCCAGGGGCAAGGTAACTAATTGCTTATATTTTGAGAGTCATGGCAATGTAAAGCAGTTTCTTTTCGATAAAATTTTGATGTACATATTGTTTAGGATGGTAAAATTGATTTTAAAAATTTTGCAGGTAAGGGACATTTATGATGGTGGGGATTATCTTGTTCTTGTCACAACTGACAGACAAAGTGCTTTTGATAGAATTCTTGCTTCTATTCCTTTCAAAGGCCAGGTTAGTGTAATTATTTAGTATAATTCTTATCTCTCTCTCTTTTTTTTTTCATAGAGAAAACGGATTTACCCTAAATATTGTTGAAAGAGGTAGCATTTAGAAGCATGGTGAAAATTTTGCAGCTTGGTGAGTAAGTAGATGATTGAAGGTAATGCAGATTAGTTATGTGACCGAAAATGTATGGCGTTTTGAATTTCAGGTTCTTAATGAGACAAGTTTGTGGTGGTTTGATCGAACAAGACACATAACTCCAAATGCAGTCGTGTCATCTCCTGATAAAAATGTTACAATTGCAAAGAAGTGTTCAGTTTTCCCTGTTGAATTTGTTGGTGAGTAACAAATGGTGTTGTCTCTTGGCTGGAATTTTTGCTTGTGCAGGCTGTAACTTCTTGTTTCTCCTTTTCTGTGGAAATTGGGAGGAAATAGCTTTTTATATAAGGTTTCTGTTCTTGAATTGCTCTAAATATTGTTTAGGGCTGGGTGAATAGAGAATATAGATTTCTTGGTATTTTGTTGTTTTTGTTATTATTCAAACACTGTGATTTAGATCAACGTGTGTGTGCATACTGATGGAGGGGGACATAATTTCTCTTTCTGGTCAGCATGTTGCAGGGATGAATTTTCTTATTTTAACCTTTTGAAGCTGTCTGTTTTATTTTGAAGAGGTTTCGGATCCCTAAATTTGTCTATATATGTTGCTATTATGTAGTTAGAGGTTTTGTGACTGGAAGTACTGATACATCACTGTGGACGGTCTACCACAAAGGCGTCCGGGATTATTGTGGCAATGCTCTCCCAGATGGTGCAATTATCATACAATCAATCATTCTGTTTCCGTGTTAAATTTTCTCTATTTGACGGCCTATCATTTTGCTGTAGGCTTGGTAAAAAACCAAAATCTTCCTGCAAATATACTCACACCAACAACTAAGGCTGAAGATCACGATGCACCTGTAACTCCAGCAGAGGTTTGATCACATACACATGCTTTAAAATTTTATTAGGAATTCCTATTTCAGTATAATGTTTGTTTGTTTTTCTCTTTTTATTTATCTTATGTTTGTGGAAGCTAATCCCTATTGATTGGAATTGTTTTGGTCTCCTTTCATGAGAGGTCACGTTATGCATTTTCTTTGCAGATAATTCAACTTGGACTGATGACTGAAGCTGAGTTTGATGAAGCAAGTAGGAAAGCATTAAGCTTATTTGAGTACGGACAGGTGACTCTATAGCCCTTGCTTAACTTTTGTGGTCATGAGTTGGTTGAGATGTGATGATTCAGAATCTTTTACTACATTAGTCAATGAATCAGGTTTCATAAACAGATTTAGCTATACTAGAAGATAATTTCCTCTCAAGTCCAGTATTTCTTATGTTTCTTTTTGTATTTTTCACTTAATGGTATAGGTTGCTTGGTAATTTCTTTTTTATGTTTGCTTCTAACGTTAATGTCTTTGAGATTGCAGCGTGTCGCTTTAGAGCATGGCCTGATATTAGTAGACACAAAATATGAATTTGGAAAGGGCTGTGATGGTTCAATTCTTTTGATTGATGAGGTTAGAAATCAGCATCACTGAAACATTCATTACTCTCTCTCTCTCTCTCTCTAACCCACATCAACTTGCACAAGTATACTAATATTATTCTGACAAGTTTCTGTAATTCTAGGTGCATACACCTGACTCAAGCAGGTACTGGATTGCTCATTCTTATGAAGAGCGTTTTCAGAATGGTCTTGAACCTGAAAACATTGATAAGGTATGTATTTCTTTTTTTGATGTTTGCTTGTTATCTCTCCAGTATGTATATGTGTTTTGATGTTGGCAAAGGCGTTACTAGCAACCTCATTTTTGTGTGCGGTAAGTTTTAGCAATTGCATGGGTATGTGAATTTGTTATGTTTTGTGTGCTTTCTCACTTTTCTGTACTTAGATTAACTGTTGTGTCATTCGATTTCAACAACTCTTGACATTAAAGTGTTTAAAACTTTTAGGAGTTTCTGAGATTGTGGTTCAGAGATCACTGCAATCCATATGAAGATGAGGTAATTCACATAAAATCCTTCAGTTATATATATTTGCTTAATTATTTTGTGCTTCTAGGAATATAGGCCAAACTCTTATTTTCTTATGCATTTCAGGTCCTCCCTGATGCTCCTCAAGAACTTATTTGCGAATTAGCTTGGCGGTTAGTGTTTTATGTCTTTTTGCATAGTAATGAGGTCACGTTATTAACATCAAAGGAATTAATCGAGCTAAGAAAGTCCTTTGGGTGATATTAGTAGCTCTGTGATGGACCAGCAATATGCATGGCCTTAATGGTCTTTCTCGAAATCTATACTTCATAATTTTGAATAATAATAATAATTATTCCTTATTCAATTCAGCTGCTATACTATAATGGAAATTCCTAATAAAACAAGTTTTTTCTAGAATTTTGAATTTCTGATTAATTTAAACTATTTGGCTTTGTAATTGCTGTCAAATTTTGTCCGAATGAGATGATCATCATGTTTACCTCTGTGTTTTGTTTTTGAAATTTCTCTACCTTTGTGTTTTTAATACTAGTTATCTTTTATCATAAGTTTGAACTTATGTTAGTCTTTGATAACAGATACATATTTTTGTACGAGGCAATAACAAAATCAAGATTTGAGTTGCCATTGACCGAGGTAAGATTTAGCACTCAATTACCCTGTTATCTTGTGACATTTTAGTGAAAATATTAGTTTTCTTCATGCAGGAGCCTATACATGATCGTATCACGAGGAATGTTTCATTGGCATTATCAGCTCTGCGGTAACTTGAAACGTGTTGCTTCGAAGATGAAAATTATAGTGAGAAATTAATACACAATTATATGATAAGGCATTAGGTTTCTTGATGTACTTCGGTCAGTGATCTTGGGATTTTGTATTCAAGATAAGGTTTAATATCAAGAGGTTCTGATTGATATAAATGAGGTGGCAGGATAGGCCAAATTATTTTGGAGCCAGCTCAGTAAATGTGTGTTGTGCTACACAAGTCTGATTTGGTCTGCTCGTTTATTTTGTATTGTTAGTTATGTTGACTCTTGTAGTCTGGAAATAATAGTTATCAAGAAATTTAATTTACCTATTTATTGTCCTGATGACTCTTGTAAACCAACCAGTACATTGTTTATGGTTTTGAGCTGTGGCAAATATTTAGTCCCAGCATTTGGACTATAACTTGGACAAGATGATGTATTCTGTAAAGTAATGCTATGTATAAAGCTGGATCCAGATTGATATGGGTGTAAATGCGTATACGGTTTATGTTAGCACCATTTTGATTATAGAAAAATAGAGTGAGCTCAAAACTTTTCTATAATTAATACATTGTTAATGCATAAACATCAATATTAGTTGAGATCCAGGTTATGTGATTTTTGTAAGATGAGATAACTAGAATATTGGAAGGAAAGAAGGAAAAATGACAGGTTAAGAAATTGAACTTTAGCCATGCACATGGCTGTCCTAACTCCGGTCTAGTGACACTGCCTGGCATGGTTGTAAATCCATATTCGACTATTCGTTATCTGCTCGTTATCAGGATTTATTATTTTTGGACTTTGCGATTTAACAGAATCAGTGTGTTTCAAGTGAATTTAGGCGGCCTGATGTAGATGCGGGTTGACTAATCAAATTATCGTGTAAGACCAGACCATTCATCAAGTAAACAAGACATCTGCCATCTATTTAACCCGCTGCTTGGTGGAAAGCAAGAATCAAGAATGGCTGAAGTCTGAAGAAAGCGTGAAGTTGTTTGGGTATTGGGCAAGTTCTTTTGTAATTAGAGTTAAGTGGGCTCTGAAACTGAAGGGAATCCACTTCGAGTCCGTTGAACAGAATCTCAAAAACAAGAGCCCCTTGCTGTTGCAATACAACCCAGTTCTTAAAAAGGTACCAGTTCTTTTTACACAATGGTAGACCATTGGCGGAATCACTCCTCGTCATGGAATATATTGATGAGATATGGAAACAGAATCCACTCCTCCCAGAAGATCCCTATGAAAGGGCCCAGGCAGGCTTTTGGGTCAAATTCTTCGACGAGAAGAGAAGAAGCAACCTTAGCTCTTTTAGCATATGTTCAAATAAGTTACAATAATACTAATCTCACTAATCCCATATGAGAGCTTGTGATTGACTTGGTTAGATGGGATCCTTATAGAGGACAGATCTCATGTAAATTGACGAATGTGAACTGACATGTGACGTTAGTAGAGAAGGTTAGTGAGAAGTGTTAGTGAGTGTAGTGGACTCAGAGAGGAAGCCATTTTTTGGAGGTGAAACGATAGGTTTTTTTAGACATGCTGTTGGCTGGATGGTATCTGGGGTCGAACTGTTGAGGAAATTATTGGTGTGAACCTGTTTGATGCAGAGACCATGCCTTTGTTTACTGCTTGGTTGAACAAAATTCTTGAAGTCCCCATTATCAAAGAGTGCATACCATCTTGGATTGCTTGAGCACAACAAAGGCTTCCTCAAGAATCGACAGCTACATCAACCTTAAGTCTTAGAATCATTTGTGATAGCTCATGCTATGGGGAACATATGGTTATAGTGATGTATTTTAAGCACATTAAATCATAAATAATGCATTTGTATGCATATGATCTGTAATTTCTCTTAAAGACTATGTATAATAAACAGTATTAATGATGTTGTATTACAAATATTGCTAAATTAATCAGCACCAAGAGAAGCCGCGATAGTGTTAAAAAAAAAAAAAAAAAAAAAAAACTCTTTGGTGAGTGTAAACCATGAGCGTAGGAATTAGGAAAGGGCTCAAGTTATACCATCTGGCAGCACTATACAACCGGAATACCAAAATTGAGGCTTTAAAAAAGAAAGAACAAAATTTCGTCAACAAGGAAGCCATGACAATGGTATAGGAGCTTTCATGTTTTCCTAGAGCTAGTTTTCATATCAAAATCTAGAAACAGTTTTAACTTGTTTCCACCAATTGCTGTAGGAAGCCATAGGACTCAGTTCACATTTAGTTACGAGTTAAAGGCTTGAGTAAGGGTAGAAGTAACATTATCCATCTCAATGCCATCCTTCTCCATCATTTTAAGGATTTCAAAAGCAGGTTTCTGGCACTAAGGTGATTTAAGCTATAATTAATACACGGTAACTTGCAAGGCCAATATTTTGGAGCCAACTCGGTAATGTGTTGTGATATATATTCTGAGTTTGTCGCTTGTTTATTGTGGTGTGATTTCTGTGGATCTTTTGGTAGTGTGGAAATAATAGTTATCAAGAAAATTAATTTCCTATTTATTGTCCTGGCTCCGCTATCCAGTACGATGTTTAGGGTTTTCAGCGTGGCAATTATTTAGTCATAGCATTTGGACTAATTGATGTAGTCATAAGAATGTATGTGTATAAAGTTGGATTTTGACTTTGAATCCCAATTTATAGTGTAAGTGATATTAATAAAATAGAGGTAATTAATCACTTTCATAATTAATTAATGTGGCATTGAATATAATTGATATTATGTTAAGTGATTTTTGTAAGATGAGATAAATATTAGAAGGAGAAAAAGGAAAATGACAAGTTAAGAAATTGAATTTAATGACACTCCTACGCACATGATTGGTGGTTGCAAATTTGGTAAGTTCCTTATTATAATTTTTGTTTTTGACATGAGAGTAACAGGATCAAGAAGTAAATTAGGAGCCCTGATGTAAATGTGGGTTGACCATTCATCAAGTAAGACACGTCATATCTATTTAAGTCATACACCCCGCCTGGTGGAAGGCAAGAATCAAGAATGGCTGAAGAAAGCGTGAAGTTGTTTGGGAATTGGGCAAGTCCTTACTCTAGGGTTAAATGGGCTCTGAAACTGAAGGGAATCCAGTTCGAGTATGTGAGAGGATCTCTCAAACAGAGTCCCTTGCTGTTGCGATACAACCCAGTTCACAAAAGGTTCCAGTTGTACACCACGTAGAACCGTTAGCGGAATCATTCTCATCATTGAATATATTGATGAGATATGGAAATAATCCTTCCTCCAGAAGATCCCTATGAAAGGGCCCAGGCACGCTTTTGGGCCAATTCTTCGACGAGGGGGTAAAGAGAAGAGGTTACTATTTTAGCATAGATTAGTTCAAATAACCTATACCACACGGTTACTAGACTTAGAGATGTGTATCAGAAAATCATGGAGTTTATGCATGTGGAAAACTATGATAGCCGACCAAGCGAAACCAATCAACACAAGATCAGTCGAAAAAATGGTCAAAGCCTCATTTTATCCCACACACACGTACACCCACACAGATTCTAACATCATCTAAAAGGGCTAGTGATGATTAAACAACCACATAAATAGAGAACATGAATATAAATGAAGAACATGTACATAAATGAAGAACAGAACATAATGAAGACATAAATATCAAACATGTTAAAGAATATAAATTAAAACATAATGAGATTTTTGCTATCTATACATTTCAGAGTATTAAACACCCCTTGAGGTTGAGGGAAACTTCGAAATATGAAAGAAACATAGAAGAAGTATAGAAAGATGTGTAGAGAAAGTATGGAAGGGTAGAGAATATGGAAAAGAAGAGTAAGAGAAATAAACAAAAGTGTTACAACCAAGTTCTCCTCCTGCAGAGAGGAAAAGCCTTTATTATAGATAAAATGGATACCACACTCATAAAGAGACATTAAATACAAGACTAACCTTTTTGACTTTTGGGTTTTTTTTTTCTTTTTTAAATTAAGTAGCCTACAATTTTTGACCAAAACATAATCTTACAATACTGACTTTTTACAAAGATACCGGAGTAGAGACAGAAAAGGCAAAATGCCATTTAGTCCACTATTATTATATAAAGGACAACAACTATATAAGGACACACAGATCTTTAATCGTCTGACAAGTTGGTAACGTGCTACGAGTCTCATCCTGGAAGTCGAGACAACCTATTGATTGAATCCAGTCAGCAGGGATTTGTCGGGGAGATGTATTGGATAAGTATCCGAAGAAATGTCTGAATCTGAGATGTTTGCTTTGCAGATGTACTGTGGCATGCATGTATTGTTGTCGCCTGGATTTATGGAGATAGTAATTACGAGAATGCGAAGCTCTTCTTCCTACACAGTATCTGGCTGTGAGTCCGGGTACCAACATTCTGGATAAGCTGAATCGGTATCGAATGAGCAATGATGGAACGTATGCATGTATGTTTGGCTTGAAGTAATTTTTCAGTTTAGTCTAGAGGAAAGAGTTCCCACGGAGCATCATCGTGAAAGGATGGTCATAATGCATCTGGAATGATCTGATTTTTTTCAAAAAAGAGTTTTGAAATTATAGTCTCAACAGGATGATCAAACATATTATGGACAAGGTCATATGGATAAGACCGATGAATGGGACTTGAGCTAAGAAAAATATAGGCGTCAGATCTGATAGAGTGATGTCTGTGAAAAAACATTATAGACCATGCCATTTTGGTAGACACAGGACCTGTGATCGGGCAAGTTGGGGAGCAAACACAGATTTCCATTTGTCAAGGTTTTGAACCATCGGAGAAAAGTCATCAAGAGCGTAATTCAGGGGTTAAGGTTGATAGTATTGGGAAATTATTTTCAACATATGATGGATCGGGAATTGAATGACAATGTGGTATTGGTGTAACATATACCAAAAGAACCATAATAATTCTTCTGAAAATATGATATCAAGTCTTGGAGGTAACACAAAGATTTTTGAAAAGGGGAAATCTGGATGGACCCCTAACATATCATACATGGATGACCACATTTTTCAATGCATTGAAGTTGGTAAGAAAACATGAGGGTGGTAGCATTTTCATCAATGGTACGTGTTTGAACAAGGTCATCGAATTTAGGAGGGATGTCTGAAGTATGGTTTGATGAAGAGGTGATGAACAGGAACTGGACTAGGTTAATATTGGAACATGAAACATGAAAGGGTTTGGATCTA